GGCATACGCTGGCTGAGCCAGGCCCTATGTTGGCGATTGATTGAAGAAGACTTGTGATCTGTTGGCGCTAAGCTCTTGAACTCGAGATACTCTTTATATAATGTGATTTTGATAATATGAGCTGCACTATCTGGTTCTCATCTCATCTCGACTTGGCTTTGTGTGAAGCTTCTCTATCTGTGTGATGACATCTATGCATGCGATGTGTGACACTCCAGCAAGCTGTGAACAGTCAGGTTCCTTGCAATCTCAAAGGTAGGGGGTGGGAGGAACCAGGGTGTAGCAGCAGGTATCTGGCGTCAGGTTCAGGGTGAAGAGGTTCTCCCTCCTCCAACATCCTGCTCAGTCAATCCCCTGGACACCAGGGTAATCAATGCTGGCAGGAATATTCCGCATCTCTGTTTTTCTGATATGGTTCGAATTCTGCCCATGTAAGGGACGCTGGACCCATTTTCCAGCAGGTGTCGCTCCCTACCAATAGATGGAGCTCCTCTCCAGGTGTTAGCGGTGTCTGCTCTTATCAGCACCACTAACACTGACGGGGGCGTGTTAAAAAAAAAAGAAAAAAAAAAAAAGGGAGAGGAGTTGTGGAAGGAAAAGAGTTCATAGATAAAATATGTTAAGCTCTTGAGAACATTTTTCTGTCTGCATTTTATTTGTAGGCAGAAAGGAGAAGTGGCGAAAGCGAAAGCAAGAAACTCACCTCCCCCCAGACATAATGAACGCATCCCATGCGCGGCGTACCTGCAAATCAAATAGGACACAGAGATTGCCAGAGTCAGGCTCCTAAATTAGTCGTGAAAAAAACAAAACAAAACAACGGCATGTCAGATCACCGGACGGCCAAGTTACGAGAGGAATATTCAGTCACAAATAAGATACCCGTGCACCCTTTCGAAATTTGTTCCCAATTGTCCATTTCATCCAGTACACAATCGAAGCTTTTCTTCATTTTAGGGTTTAGGGACCTGGGCAACCAGCCGGGCCGCCCGGGTCACACCTTGTTTGCCCAGGCAACCCGGCCGTGCAAGGGCCAAAAAAAAAAAAAAACAAAAAAAAACTGCGTTATGAAGAAAAATAATCTGAACAACGTTTGCCTCAGGGTCACATCGAAATTCTTCACCAAATTTTAAATAAAAAATAAAGTTAAATTTTAATCTTTTTTCTTTTAAGTTTGTTTCAAACAAGTTCCTTTTTTTTCTTTTTTTCTTTTTTTTTTGGCCCGGCCGGGCAATTGGTCCCGGGCCACTGTGGTAGCCTAGTTAGGGACCATAAAACAGCTAGAGATTCTTTCAGGGGATAAGTTGAATGGTGAAACTTTAAAGGGTCCTCCTCACTCACTGTTCAGGACAAAAGCTGGTGAAGCTGGTATTTTGCAAAATGGAAGTGTTGGACATGTGAGTACAGGGTCAGTCCCATTTAGCCTATTGGTTTAGGGCTTAGGGTTGGCAGGCCGTGGGTTGGGTCTTCGATTCTTGGATTCGATGAATTGGATGAATTGGATGAATTGGACCCACTCAGTCCATGGTCCTTGTCGAACGTCAATGAGCTGTGTAAAGGAGCGCCAGAGCCAGGGCTGCTCCGGGCAAACAACACTAGAGCCGTCTACTCCTGCGTCTCCCTTCATGGGTGGGGGCTCCTATCCCTCCTCCCATGAAGGGTCACTGGGCAGGATGCTTTCAAGTTTACAGGTGAAAAAAAAAAAAAAAAAGAGGGGGGGAGGGACAGCAGCACTGCTTGCTTCCTGTAAAAGTAAGGCCCACCAGATTTGACTTCTCAGGGGCACTTGAGTTGCGAAATACCCTCTTTTTTTTTTCTTTTGCGAAATACCCCCATAAGTTGAGAATCTTGAGATATATGCCAAAATCTCCTAAACGGCGTGAATAGAGCGGAATGCCACTCTGATAAAAAATAGTATACTCCTGGCATCGGTTGAAACCCTCCATATTTGCAAAATAGTAAAAATACCCCTACCGCCGCTACCGGGTACCATCCGACTTTGCAAAATGCCTTGGTACCATGGTAACCCCGGACCCGGACACCGGACACTTCAGAACTGTCTTCCAGACCAGTGTCTGGACCGGTCCGGACTGTCCGGTGATCCAGACATCACCGGGCACAGGACATCACCGGACACCGGACAGTCCGGACCGGTCCCCTGGGTGCAAAAATGTCCGGACCAAAAAAAAAAAAAAAAAAAAAAAAAAAAAATGGGGGTGGGTGGGAGGTTGGGTGGGGGTGTTGGCAGGCACTTACCTGCTCTGCACTCTGTAGTTCAGGCAGCAGAGCACGTGTCTTGCGACAAACCAACCAGCACATTTAACTAGCAGACATGCAGAGTTGCAAACAGTGCAAAGCACGCACAAGACTAAAGAAACAGAGAAGTTCTTTTTGAAAAAAGTATGATTAACCTTGAACTTCGAACTTTGGATTTATTAATTTAAGTTCATAACTTCATATATAACTGAAAAGTTCGAACTTTGCAGTTCAATTCAGAACCTCAGAGTCTTCAGACTGGCAGCACTGTCAGTGCTCTCTCTCTCTCTCTCTCTCTCTCTCTCTCTCTCTCTCTCTCTCTCTCTCTCTCTCTCCCCCCCCCTAACGGGCAGCAGCAGCGGGCGCCACGTCGAAACGGCCGCTTTGGAATTGCTCGGGCCTGTGCGAAACCCGCCACCTCAAAAACCCGCAGTGTCTTGTGTCTGGACCTCTAGGCCATGTCTGGTGGGGTGAAAGGACACTTAAAAATCACCCCGTTATTTTTCGAGGGGTGGCTAGGACCCGACAAACGTCCTGGGCCGCCCCATTTTTTTTTTGATTTTGCCCCAGGGGCCTCCATCTGGACGTGGGGACCAGACACCGGACACCAGACACCGGACACCGGACACCGGACACCGGACTGTCTGGAACCCAGTCCGGACATCCAGGCGGTTACCATGCTTGGTACGTGCCAACTTTTTCGAGGTGCGATTGCAAAGAGCACAGGCCCAAACGGCGAGGTGCAGACTGCAAATTTGTGCACCAGCATGATGATGACAGGGGCATAACACAAAGAATTCGGCCCAAAAGGGTATATTACTATATTCCAGTCTACCCACATCTTTCAGGGGCATTTTGGCATATATCACAAGATTCTCAACTTATGGGGGGTATTTTGCCAATCATCCCTTTACAATATTTCCAATCTTTGTGGGGGGGGGGGGAAGAGAATAAAACACTGAAAAAAAACTTTTGAAAAAAAAAAGGGGAAAGAAAAAGTAGCTTACCTACCGACGGTCCTGACTCAGGGCGTACTCACACTCGCACTATCTTAAATGTATCTGACTGCATTTCCGACCATACCTGTATGCATCTGGCCGCAATTCCGTACCAAAAAAAAAAGAAGTTAAAAAGTGCTATTGTGAGCATACCCGAGTATACCCTCAGTTGTCCGTACACACATGAACTGTAAAAATATATACACCCGTGTTAGAATCCAGATGCGTGCGATCAAATGAACAGAATAACAATAAAAAAAATAAACAAAAAAAAGTGGCTTACCTCAATCAGAGCCCCCATATCCACTGTGGCACCATAATAATAATGAAACATCCAAGTGGGCAGTCCTCCTACGCTCCCATCCTCATGCTGCTGCTGCTGCTTCTGCTGCGGTGGCGACGACGGTGTCTTGCCTTCTTTGTCTTTTTCCCCACCACCTCCTTGTCCTTCTTTTGCATTTGCTTTTGATCTCTGCTCTTCTTCGGCCTCTTCTCCCCTCCGTTCCCCGTCATCTTTACGTTCCAGTCCCTTTTTGTCGGGCTCGGCATTACCACCCGCGCGATTTTCGGTCATCACGTCCGCAGCGCCGATAGGAGAAGACACTTTTTGCTTTGCCGTCATTGCCTGCGGGTCCTTGTCGTCGTCGCCTTTCTTTCTCCCGTCGTCTCTGGCATCTGCAGCAACTGCATCTGACTGGGCTTTCAATGACGCACCAACTGCCTGCTGGATTGACGAGAAGGAGATGCCCTTTGACGGGCCATCCAGATCCCCATCTGCCACATTCCCCGACATTCTTTGAGGCTCGGCGGCTGCTGCTGCTGCTGCTGCAGCCCTCTCTTCCTCTTCCGCACTCGCTTTAACTCTCGCCAGAAAATCATCATCTTCCTCTGGGAAGAAATGCCCTGCGAGACAGAGAGACCAACCGACACAAGGGTCAAAAATTTTTGGACACCATTTCCCATTTTCTTGCAACAAAGAATTAAAGGAAAACAAAAGGACGAGAAGTTGTCGAAGACATACCAACGCGCCTAGCTCAGTTGGTAAAAAAAAACATGACCTTTTGAAATACAGACCCGAGCTCGAATCCAGATACCTTCAGATCAGATGAACAGAACAAAATCATTCTGAATTCCCTGGTGATATCTTTTTTCTTTTTCTTTTTTAAAGCTATATTCTTCTCTCAATTTCACCTCACACTGCCTACCTACCACTACTAATTGTAGGCATACGGGGAATACCGTAGCAGCCAGAACCGTGTTCACGAGAGAACATGCGGGGGCTGCTCCCGACCTGCAGGTGGGCGATACCGGCTAGGGGACAGCCGGTAGCATCAGGGACCATGCCAACAGGACCAATCCCTGTGCCTCCCCTCAGGTCCCTCCCTCAAGGCCGTCGCCCTTACAAACGAAAAAAAAAAAAGAAGAAAAAAAGAGAACCTTTCTTCAAGTCCCAGCGATAGGAACCTTTCCCAATTCCAACGATCGGAACCTTTCTTCAAGTCCCAAGTCCCAGCGATGGGAACCTTTCTTCAAGTCCCACCCAGTGATTCGAACTCTTTCTTCAAGTCCCAACAATTGGCACCTTTCTTCAATTCCCTGGCACATCATCTTTCTCAGTTCCAGCGATTGGAACCTTTCTTTAAGTCCCACCCAGCGATCGGAACCTTTCTTCAAGTCCCAACGATTGGAACTTTTTGCAAGGAAAATGAGCAATAGCGAACATCAGAAACCAAGCAGCATCATACCCGTGAGACCAGAGAGTCGTGACCTCGAACCAAAAGCAGAATTGCATCACGAGTCCCACCAAATAATAGTACAGCAAAAGCTCATAAGTGACAATGTTCGAGTAGTCCCATCATCATCAACAAAGAACCAATGTCGACATCCTATCCGGCGCTCGGCGCCCAGACTACAAATGACAGATCCTATCTGGCCTATCTACAATGCCGCTGGTGACGTCAACAGCTCCACGAAGTACGAGCAGATCTCGGCCAATGCCGTTCGCTTCAAGCACCAGGTATGTCTCTCGTATCACTCACAACCTCGTTCCCCAACTCACAGATGCCACCTGCACCCAAGGACCACCACGCACCCCATCCAGCGTACAGCAGCGCAGCTCGGCTATGGCTGCCTGCTCCTTCCAGCTCGCCCGTGAGCGTGTGAGCGCGTGCCATCGTTAGCGCAGCAGCGCTTGCGCAGCATGCAGCCAGCGCCCGAATGTCGAATGCGTGGGCACGCCCTTGCCTATATCGAAGTGGCCTGCTGCTGCGTGCGGTAATGCGGTGCTGGGCCCCGGCCCAGAAGCTTCCGGTAGGCCCCACGAGGCTGAGCCTCAGTCCAAAGGAAACAGGCCCAGGGCCTGTGGTGGTTACTAGCGCCCAACTGCCCTCAGCCTTTGTTCGGTCCATGTTGCGTATCCGGCCCAGGGCCTGCCTCAGTTACATACCATGAAAGGCAGCCTGGGCCTGGGTGCTTCCAACCAACCGGCGCTGCGCAACTGCCTGACTTTTCCCCAGTTGCGTAGTAGTCCAAAATAGGCCTCGGCCGGGCCTGCCTTCACTTAGGGCGGCCGACCTTGCTGATAACATGGCCCAGTGGGGCTTAGTGAGGCCTTGTGCCTCGCATTTTTCTTAAAGTTTCAACAATTGGTACTTGTCTTCAAGTTCCATTGATTGGAACTTTCAGAGTTCCGACGACGGGAACTTTCCGAGTTCCAACAACTGGAACTTTCCATTTTATTTTTTTCTATTTGTTTTTCCTTTTTTCCTAAGCTTGCGGAGTTCCAGTTTTCGGGATCCAAAAAAAGGGACATTTATTTTGGGCAGGCAGACAAGATCATTGACCTTACACCAGCTCGGGAGTTTTCAACAGATTGCAGATTTTTCGTCCGGAGACCAAGATCTTCCACTTTGTTCAAGTGGAGGAGGGACTCGTCTTCTGTGGAATAACAAATGAATATACCAACTTAGAAAGCCAGTTCGTTCCGTTTTATTTTCTCATTTAATTTAATATATTTCAATGATATTTTGTAATACTTCAGCTTTCCTTGTGTCAAGTTTGTCTGTCTACGCAAGGAAAAGCACACACTCCTAGCCGGCGCTCTTGCAAGAGCGCCTGCAACCTCTCACTGCTTCACAACCGCGGAGCCAATCCTGAAAACATTGCCTTTGTTTGGATATCAAACAATGATTCGTGGTGGAGCGCGCCCATACGATGGGGGTACGCCAGCAGCTGTGAAGCAGCAAGGGTCAAAAACTGCCATTAACATTTCGTTCTCTCAGCCGAGTTTCCAGCGTCGGCCGACACTCCCAGAAATCCGGATGTAGAGAGGCCGCACCCTCTGCCGTCGATTCGGGACTGCCACCCTTGTGTTACAAGATCCTAGGCTGCCCCGGCGCCCGGCCGGGCGTGCCCGGCCAGGCGGACCCCGGCCGGTTGGGCCCGGGGGGTCCGCCCGGGTGAACCGGGCGACGCAAAAACAGGGCCAGGATTTTTATTTTTTTTTCTGACGGTGGGGCTGTGCTGCGCTGCACTAGAGGACCCCGAATCCGCAACAAAAACTGAACTTGGGAGGTGGGGGGG